GACCAAAGAAAAAGAAGAGAAAATGAAGTATCAATGAAAAGGTGGCTGGGGGTGGGGCTGGGGGTGCTAAGCCAGCAATGGGGTGGGATACGGTCTTCCCTACCAATCTCTTTTTATTTCATGCTTTATTGGTTTATATTGCATAAAACTTAAACCCTTTAAATTTGAAGATAAATATCACATTATAATAGAACACAGTATTTTAAATGAGATGTTTTACAGAGTTACCTTTTTTAAAGCCTAACTGCTCTCATGTGCACATTTAGGTGTTTTTACTTACCAATTCACTAAATATTCAACCCTACCATGTGTCAAGCACTAAGTAGGCAGTGGAGATTCAGACCTGAGTGAAACACAAGTTCCTATCCTCAAGAAATATAAATAGCCAAGTGGTAAAAATAAGCCCCCATCTTAGCTTTGTCAGAATGTAAACCCAGGGAACAAGGCTGAAAAGCAACTATGGCAGAGCCTGGAGGAGCGGGGTGAGGTGTCAGGGGAGTCTCTTGGGCACCGGGCAGTCTGGAGTAGAGTGTGGCACAGGCAAAGGAAAGGACACATGAAATAGCACCACGCTCAGGCAGGAAAGTGGTAAGCTGGTGAAGCAGGAGGGGACACAGCAGAGATGAGTGGAGGCTGTGTACACTTCGGTGCTCTGAACTCTACTCTGAAGGCTCTGGGAAGGGGCTGAAAGGTTCTGAGCAGGGACAGCTCAGTTTTAGGAAGCATTACTCTGGCAGCGGCTGGTTGGGTGGGATACAGACCAAGGCCAGTCCAGCAGTTTCAGGGCAAGAGGCCAAATGATGATGATGGTAAGCAAGACCATGGCAGGTCTCAGGTCCTAAGGAAGCAACCTCAACAAAGGCAGGTTTTCATATAATGGAAACGTTCAAAGTTCTGTGCACCACCTCCCTTCACCCTCGCATTTCCCCCCAATAAAAACATAACCTTTACCACAACGAGAGGCTGGTGGCTAGAGTGGAAGGCTTTCATGCTTGCAGATCAAATGACAAGAACGAACAGTATTCCACACCCAAAGGGATTTTTCTCCCTCTGCTTGCTCATTCCCATCACCAGTGAAACATTTCCTGGAAAACAAACATGTCCCGTGCCTGCCCCCGCAACCCCCCACCCCAATACTTCTTTGATCTCCTCTAGTTCTGTTCCATTTCCCTTCACAGCAAAACTCTCAAGTAGGGTCTCCACTGTCCCACCTAGTATTCACACTTCCACTTGCTCCAATCCCTACTGCTTCTGTCAATGATTGCATAATGCCAAATCCCACACAGCCTTCTTCTTCCACTTTGAAGTACTTTCTTTCCTTTTTTCCTGTTTTTTTTGTTGTTGCTTTTTCCAACTGTAGTGGTTTCTTCTCTTTTTCTGTTACTTATTCTTCCTTCACTAGATCATTAAAAGTTGGAGTTACCAGGACCCTGTCCCAAGACCTCCTCTCCAGCTACACTGGCTCCCGAAGCAAGTTCATCCAATATCATGGTTTTAAACATGGCCTGTATGTTACACTCCTACATTTATATGTTCAACGAGACCTCCTCCCTGAGCTGCAGGTTCTCATCTATCTACTCAAAATCTCCACTTAGATGACCAACTGGCATCTCGAACATAGCTTACAACAAATTACTGATTCCCCCTGCCAAAGCAAAATCCTGTTCCTCTTAGAGTTTTTTTTTTTTTTTTTTCCCAACTCAGTATATAGTTTGGCCATACTATATGTTCAAGCTCCAAACCAACTATTCCTGATCACTCTCCTTCCTCCTCCACCCCACCCTCCAACATCCAATGGATCCAGGTCCAATCTGCCCCTCCCAATCTCCTGCACTACTCAAATTAGTCCAAAACCACTATCTTTTCTCTCCTAAAATGCAAGTTTCTTATAGTCTTATTGCCTCCACCCTTGCCTCCCTACAGTCTAATCTTCACAAAAATGTTGGCATAATCTTCTGTAAACTGCAAATCAGATCACGTCACTCCCTTATTTAACAACTCCTTGACAGCCGCATAGCACAGGGAGATCAGCTCGGTGCTTTGTGTCCACCTAGAGGGGTGGGATAGGGAGGGTGGGAGGGAGACGCCAGAGGGAGGGGATATGGGGATATATGTATATGTATAACTGATTCACTTTGTTATGAAGCAGAAACTAACACACCATTGTAAAGCAATTATACTCCAATAAAGATGTTAAAAAATAAAATAAAATTTAAAACAATTTAAAATACTCCTCGAATGAAATCCCACTGTACTTAGAATATAAATGTGTCCCATGGCTTACAACCACCCCCAACCCTGCTCCAATGTCTGTTCCTACATCTCCCAGACCTCTTCCCTAACTACATTCTAGCCACACTGGCCTCTGTTCTCTTCTTCCAGTGGCAGCAGCTGGAGGATGAACAGGAAGGGCTGACACTGG